TACAAAGGGAGGGCACCTCCGCCAGATCGACAAAGCCCTGCCAGCAATCCGTACCCGAAGACTGTACGGATCGCTCCCACGGAACCGAGCATACCTACTCACACAACTACGGACGGGTCACGCGTGGTTAGCGACGTACGAGAAACAACATGGGTTCCGGGACGATAACAGATGCGTCTGTGGAGCTCGTGAGACGGTAGTCCACGTACTGGTGGACTGCCCGAAACTCAGCGACCGGCGACAACAACTACGGAGGAAGATTAGACCTGCATTTAGCAGCATTTCAAGCATGCTAGGAGGGCAACAAAAGAAGAAAGGTAAGGCACAAGACGCTGAACAAGACCACGGCACCCTCGGGGTTATACTGGATTTTGCAGAAGCGTCCCAGAGGTTTCGAAGTCACGCACCACGGGGGCCGCAGAACAAAACACTAGGCGACTAGGCCAACATAGGCCTCGACGAGGCTCCAAATTCGTCAGGAAAGTAATGGCTCACTGTATATAAGAGTTACATGGAGACAGGTAGATAGGGAGATCCTGCATATCGCTTTAAATTGCGAGGGGTCAGAGTATGAATACACACACACACACACACACACTGTACAAAAGGAATATATACAAAGAGAGGTAGATAGGGAGATCCTGCATATCGCTTTAATTTTCGAGGGGTCAGAGTATGAATACACACTCTCTGTACGAATTCGTATTTCAATCTAATGGGGAAACCTACGTTGATGAGAGGGGTCAGGGTAACTGAAACCGACCGAACCAACCAACAACCGAGTGTAGTATCCCAATATGTACATCCCTTTTGTTCGACGATGTTCAGAGACGTGTTAGGTCTAAGAAGACGCTTTGCATGCCTATTCTGCCCGTGGTAGTTAGCAAAGGTAGAATCACTCTAGTTAGTATCACTTTTTTGTGATTCATCATCCACCCTGGTTCAAGGACTGTACACAAACATAGCCGCGGGGACGGGATCCGATGTATCCACGGCGGGTGGGATCCGATGTATCCACGGCGGGTGGGATCCGATGCTTCCACGGCGGGTGGACCCGATACTTCCACGGCGGGCGGGATCCGATGATTCCACTAACTGCAGGCGTGGGTTTCGGCTCGTATCTTTGGATTACCACATCTTCACTGCCGTTCTGCTTGCCGCTCTTCTTCGCACTTGGACCCTCGCTAGGAGTTATAATCCCGTGTAGCACCTAGTGGGGAAGCTAATCGCCCGATGAGCGTTGTAATCCTCATACCCAGAGCATGTCGACCATTCCCCTCATTATTGATGGACAAGATGTCGTGTTGCCTTTTCACGAAAGGCAGGGCACCATCATCAATGCGTATGGCCAGGACTCCGTCCGTTACCAAGGCGCGACCAAGGAATTGGCCTTGCGAGCCGCGCGTTCTAGCGCACGGGCGTTTGTCGCATGGTCCAACATCACCCCGGTAGAGCGCCGGTCCCTGCTCTTTAAATTGGCCGAGGTATTCAAACCCAAACATGAATGAATGACTTCCCGTCCCTCACTCACCCGTCGATGCAACCAGGCTCTGCGCAATCGAGCCGAGGAGATCAAGCGCGTGTGCGATAAAGAGATTCATTGTGGGCCCCTATGGGCAGAAATTATCACCAACGACGCTGTCGGTCTGATTGAGGAGTATGGGGCTCTCACCACTAGTGTCGCCACGGGTTCAGTACCGTTTATCCAGAATGGCCATGGTTTAGTTCTCAAAGAACCACTCGGAGTAGTTCTTGGAATTGCCCCCTGGAACGCCCCCATAATCTTGGGCCTCCGTGCTGTGGTGGCGCCTATAGCTGCAGGCAATGTCGCGATCCTTAAGGCAAGCCGCTCCTTGATTGATACAGTTACGCAGGACTATCTTTTGGTTGACTATTATATTGTAGGGCTCCGAATTGAGCCCCCGAACCCACTATCTCCTCGCATCGCTATTCCGGGAAGCTGGCTTCCCCCCCGGCGTGCTGAATTTTCTTCTACATCGACCGGAGGACGCGCCGGAGATCTTTGACACGCTCATTAACCACCCCGCCACTAAAAAATGCAACTTTACCGGGTCGACTCAGGTTGGGCGTATTATTGCCTCGCAAGCCGCTCTGGCCCTGAAGCCCGTGTTGTTGGAACTCGGTGGCAAGAACTTCACTGTCGTACTCGACGATGCGGATTTGGATCTTGCAGCCCAAGAGATAACCAAAGGGGCCTTTCTCAATGTAAGCGGTGTATCAGAAGTGGGACTGTGGGACACAAACAATTGACAGTAATACTAGAACGGTCAGATCTGCATGTCGACGGACATAGTCCTTGTCACAACTGCTGTGGCCCCAGCTCTGGAGGCCAAGATTCTGGCTATCCTGCGTGGTATCAATACCATCTCGGTGCTCATCTCTCCAGCAGCTAGAGCCAAGGTAGAGAGGCTCATATCCGACGCGCGCGACAAGGGGGCTCGAATTTATACATCTCCCACCACGGTTAAAAACGTCGTCTCGGATCAGGGCTTTTCTCCCACTGTGGTGACGGGGTTAACGCCTGACATGAAGCTGTACGAAGTGGAGTCCTTCGGTCCGGTCGTTGGCGTCATGGCGGTCGAGACAGAGGACCATATTATGACCATTGTCAAGGCGTCCAAATATGGACTGTCAAGCTCGATCATTTCCCGGAATCATTATCGCGCTCTCGAACTTGCTGGCTCCATCAAGGCGGGTGCAGTCCATATTAATGCTATGACCGTGCACGACGAGCCCACCCTTCCTCATGGAGGATATGGGAACAGTGGGTGGGGCCGGTTCGGTGCTCGTTGGGGGTTGGAGGAGTTTGTCCAGACTAAAGTCGTCACTCTGCATCCGTAGGGCCGAATATGGACTTGCTTTGCTATCGATAAGAGGCACCTGGACTGTGTTATCCGAATGCTAGGGTTCCCGTGGCTGAGCTCTTGTTAGTCATCCTAACCATAACGTATTCCACTAGCGAGCGTGATGCCGCCCGCCAATTCCCGCCAATGGGCTAAATACTAGGGCTTCTACCAACCAAACAACTGCATTTCTATCTACCTTGATTAGGATATCGCACTCGCCTGTGTCCTAGATTATGACAGGCACTGCAGCGCGGTGGCGCTCGTAGTACGCGCGCCCAACTGCAGAAAGCGCTGGATCTATAGGTATAGTATCCAGAGCTTCCTGAACCTTATTCTGGCGCTGGGATCGCTCTATGCTTTCCTGAAGAGATGAGCACTCTTCCATAGCTAGCTGCATATTATGTCGTTTCCGCTTTTAGCCTTCCCATTCATTATTAGCGCCATGTTTGCGTATTTCTTCCTTCGCAAAAACAAGCTTGCGAAGAGTCAACTCGTGACCTTTAATAATCTCGTCTAATCAAGGCTCTAGCAAAGGTAAAGGACTCTAAGCACATTCCTTAAATAGTCTTATTGCTACAGATGCCTGCTTCTCTAGCAGCCTAGTAGCATAGGGCGTTTTAGCTGCCGAATCATTTGGTCCGCTTGGTGATGGTGTAGGGGTCTTTAGTCGGATATCCAATTTGCTAAGCGCCCTATCTGGATCAAGCGGAACGATCAAGCGGAACTAAGCAAGTGCCTGCGAAATTACTCGAATTTTTTTCAGCTGCAAAGGTACTTTGGCGAGCTTTTGAAAAAATCTTCAGAAAACCAACCTTATCGATATGGTTGATTCCGAGCCGTGCTTTGTCTTCCAAGGTGCTGTGCGCGCTTTTTAGAGACCGTAAACAGCCTAGTTCCAAAGGCCGGAGCCTATTCGAAGTGTGAGCAGGCATGCATATCGAGAAATAATATTATTTTCTCGGCAGGTTTTGTCAAATTGAGGTGTAAGATAGCTACCATAGCCGCCAAGAGTCAGAAGGCGGTATATTCCAGTCATACGTCTAGTAATCGCAGGAATAAAGAGATCTTTAAGCCAGCGAAGGCTTATCTCATCAGTAGGCTATCCATGGGAACTGTTAGGGACACCGCAATTATGTCATCCTGGCTTACATCAGCCAGCACATGACGTCTAGGTTTATAGTTGGTGCCCTACCTTTTACATGACGCCTTATATGAAATATTAGCCCACCCTATCTTCTATTATACTACCTAATTCTGTATAAAATGAATACGAGACCATCATTTGCCACATGTCCTCCGCGTATGCCCTACAACCCCACAGTTAGAACACTTCGATGGTCCCTTCTTCGGTCTTGTTGCATTTACGTCCCCATTTGCCTCGCTTCTAGCCGATCTGTCCTTCGTTTCATGCATAGGCAGTAGCGGATTAAGCAAAGGTAAGTAGTCTGTCTGTGTGCTAAGGCCCGTCCTCCAAAAAGGATGAATGTCTGCTAATGGAATTGGTAGGCCTTCTTTTAATAGGCTAGCTATGCGATGCGCGCATGGATGCCCCATAGTCCTAGTAAAAACGTCAGTACAAGGTCTTAAAGGGGCGGAAGGGGTAGCTCTTTTAGCCTTATCAGCCTGTTCTTTAACTCAGTTAATTAAATTGCGCGATGGTGTACGCTTTAACTCCGAATATAGCTGCTGGGAACAGTAGGTAAGGGTTCTGATCTTATCTGATGCAAGTTTAGATGAAAGGACGTCGGGCTGTGCCTTTATAGCTTCATCAATACGCTCCCAAACAAGCACAATATCACCAGGAGGCCCCATAATATAATGCTTTAAGGCTCCATGTGAGCCTTCGACTCGAGAGGTAGCCGCATTACCTAGATGGAGATATTGTCTAGTCCACGCAGTCACGAACATCTCTTTATAAGTTAGCCACGTTTCCTTCATATAAGTTAGGGGGTAGGATGATTTATATATATCCTCAAACCTGCTTAGCTTCGTCCAATATAAGTCCTCGGTGTGTGAATAGATTAGATCAAACCAATCCCGCATAAAGGTATTATAAGACTCTTGTGTATCGAAGCAACCCTTAACTTTCTCTGTCACATTTTTTGTTAATATGCCAGATACAAAGCAAATGAGGGCTTAGTGGCTCAACTTCACGGATAGCACCTAAAATAGTAAGTTAATACATATAAGGTTATTAGATTTGATCTATAAAAGGTCATACTTACCTAGTAAGGCTAGTTCCCTGTCCGTACACAGTACTGGAGAGTTAGAAATAGGATCAAGCCATGAAAATAAAGCCCTAAGTGCCCAGACATAGCCACCCTCCTGCTCATGCTTCATAAAACAGAAAGCAACACTAAATGACGTATTCGACGGTGACATGCCAACAATATGTAGTAGGGGCATCTTGAATTTATTCGTCTTATAGGTGCAATCTAAGACGAATACCCTATTATCTCTATTAGTATAAAATAAGGGTATAAAAGAAGGGTATATTAACTTACCTATTATATTGATTGGCATATTGGATAGAATGAGGATGCGCAAACATAAAGAAAGTACAATGCCCATCACTATCTTGCTCAAAGATATACCTCCATTTTTGCTGAATAAGCTGACCACGAAGCCACTCTAATGGCTCAGAGTCCTGGAGTTTCTCTCTTCGGGTCGATAGCTCGCTGATTTTAGATATCTCGAGGCAAAATCAATGCATTAGGCGTATGCTGCTTGATTAGGCTGATAATCTGCCGGGGCATCGAGCCAATCTTCGTTAATTGCTGTATAGTGTCGCGTTGATGCTGGGTTAATTGCCGTGCTATAGGATGGGCGATCATATTATGATCAGGTGGATGGTTATGGGAGGGGTTTTTGACCCTTAAAACCCATTTAGCATTAGCATTAGCTTTGCTGCTCTTACTCCCATATAGACGAAATGGACAATCAATCCGTCTCGTACTAGTTTTGCGGCGCTTAGAACCCTCAGGTGCATCGATTCGGTCACGGTATACACCCCCCCTATCGCACCCAATACTAACATATCGGTCTTTATCAGATCGGATAGTAGTAATACCATAGCCATAAGATAGCGCATGTTGTCGTACCGAGGTAAGTAACTGATCCTTAGTGTCGAACGACCCCTCAGGTGGCGGTGGCATAGCCGGGGGAGCTATATCGGTGGTAGCAGTAACGGCAGTAGCAGTGGTTGCTATAGTACTAGTGAATATAGTAGTGGTGGCTATAGTAGTGGTGGCTATAGTAGTAGTGGCTATAGCGGTGGTGGTAGCAGAAGTCGTAGCAGTAGCCGTGATATCTGCAGTAGACAAGATAAGAGCAGCAGGGAAGGCCATCTTGGTTGAAGCAACGGTGGTAGCAGTGGTGATACTAGTAATAGGCCTTGCAGTGGTAGTGGATGGTAGGTAGAAGCGGTAAAGTGGGATGATTACTTTCATATAGCTATGATATAGCTACTATGGCATCTGGTTGCTATAGTAGCTACTACTGGAATCTAGAACGATCACGTCGTGCTGGCTGATGTAAGCCTGGATGACATAATTGCGGTGTCCCTAACAGTTCCCACTATCCATTTGGGCCGCCCTGGGCGGCCCGATTCGGCCCATTTAGTGCACAATTCTCCCAATTTATAAGCATAACTCGATGATTAATCTGATAAATTACCTGTTTTTTACACCTGTTCCAGTTCCCTACACTAGGTGTTGATATTTATTAACCTCCCGCGTATACCACCGAATCAAGATGTGAGGGTGATGATATTATACATTACTAGGTAGTATGTTATAGAGTAATTCAATCAATGTCAGGCTGGACCTATCCGAACAACCGCTTCTCTATCTCTTGATTTTTCATGTAAGGCGAATACGCAAAAATACGAATGAAAACTGCACAAATAATGCATGTCACGGGTTTCCCTATGTTTGCCCTGTTTGACAGCCCGCCGGGCGCCCGTTTCAGCCCACCGGGCATGCCCAGGGCTGTGCCGAGGTTTAATTTGGACTAACACCAATTCTACTACCAGATGTGAGCTTCTGATTTTGATACCAGCCCTCTATATGAACCTTTCCTTTGAAGATAATGCAGGAAGGAAGCGCCCAACCAGTAGTTGATACGCTCAATCGAAGTAACACATTTCCGATTGCCTGGCTGTACGAAAAGCGCTTTTCCATATTAATCTGCTCTAGTAACTGCTCGATCAGTAGCTGCTAGGTCCTTAGCGAAGCCAGTTTCGTTAACATAGTAGATGTCTTCGCGTGCGAGCCCGTGTTGCATTATAGTGATTTGTACACAATCAAACCACACCCTAAAAGTCGTCAGTTCTTCGCAATTAGTGCGATAATCATAGCGTCGAGAATAGCGAGACTTTATTTCATCTCGTCGCTTAATAAAATTAGAGACCGAGTTTGCTCCGACTGATTGAATAGGTGTAGTACCACGGAAAGGAGAATATCGGCCATTCTCGTATATGGAAAGGTCGGGGAGGGAACGTCGATCTAGCGACAGAATCTACCGTGCAAGCGATTCCTCTTCATTTTGAGTCAGTTTATGTCTGTTGGCGCGAGATTCTGAACGTGCAGTTCTCCCATTAAGTCGTAGACGAAGGATTTCGTGGCAGACATCAAAAAAAGCAGCTTCACGAATGCTGCAATCCCCTGTTCAGATGAATCTCTTCATCTTTGACGCGCCTTTGGAGGCATGGGTGGTGGTTGAATTAGGTGAGATTTTCAGTCGTAGCCAAAAAGTATTCAGTGTCCCGCTCGGTGATGCGTCACGCTCAGTAGTGAAATACTTTAAATCCATCATCGGCCTGGATTATATATACTAAGCTTATAGAATAGACGCACCCCTTTTTCTCGGTGTGACTATGCTCTAATCATCTCTGCAATTTGGCAAGATGCTTCTATTAATCCCTGGGCCGGCAACCAGCCCTCTTGTAATGAGGATAAGCCATCAGTCGCTAGGGAATGCATGGCTGAAGTCAAGAGTTCGGGACGGAATTAATGTGCAGAATAAACGCATATTTATGTTGCGGTGGGGCAGGACATTGTAAATTGACCAGGTAACAAACAATGACTTAAACCCTATCACTTAGGGTGAGACTGAAAGGTTGCCGACCTCAAACTGTGCTTCAAGGCCAATAGCACCCAGTGTTATTCATATATCGGCTTTCCCAGGCCTGATTTGCTCATTACTGCTGAGGAGGGTGTTTTTGCAGCAATCGCAGTCCAGCCACCCATTTTCGGCTCCTTTTCCCAAATACATCTTATTTTATTGCATCACTGTGAGCAGCGATCTCAAGGAGATGTACAAAGATCACTTACACATCGGCAAGGAGGTAGCGAGAAGGCAAGCTGATACAATGCCGAAAACCTTGAAAACATCCCCAGGCCCGGATTTGCTAACCCAGCCATTCATGAAGTAGGAGAAGCCGTAGAAAATGAAGTTCTTCACGGACATCAGCAAAATGAAAACTTCGATTGCTTGGTCAGGATGTGCATCACTGGAGAGTTTTGCTAAAGTCAGTCGTTGGTCCAGATGGAAAGGAGTAAACCACTCACAGGATATAAACCGAACTAGAAGTCGCTGCTATAGTTACCCCGGCACAGATGCAACCGTGGCAAAATGATCCAAGGAAATATCCAGTCTTTGTCGGGTGTTCAACGTCCCACATGAAGAGAAAGAAGCCAAGGCACAAAAGAGCAGCCGCAATAATTTGCGCGGGAATTCGAAATTCAGGTTCATACACGCCACGGTTGCGTTTCGTCAGCCAGTTGGTGGACAAATCACACAGCTTCGCACCTCCTATGCCACCGATCAGACCTCCTAGCAGAGCTGTACTGACTCCAATAATTAGCTTGAACTCGCCTCCACTGGACGGACTGATCCTTGCCTCCGACATAAAAATAGCCATTTCCTGCCGAACCAAGAAAGTAGGGGGGCGCGGACCATATCTGCCCAAGGATATACGAAAGGGTGCCGTAGAAAGCCTTGCATGGAAAGTCAGTTGGGGTACGGCTAGCGCTTCCGCTCATCTGCTTTTGACCTACAACAGCGATACCACCAACCAAAATTGACTTCGCAACTGTTAGCTTCAAATACCAAACCATATGTGAAGGCCTAATACTTTCAAACGTACCCAGGTAACTGATGGGATCACCAATGTAATGAAAGGCGCTAGTAGTAGCTTCATTACAGATTCATTGGTGTATGTCCCACTGACTATTGCCAATGTCTGTACATAGCGTTTCCTCCTCGACAGGTGGTGGGCCTCAAGTGAACCGGGCCTAGTCACAGTCTGGACGATTTCATCGTGTGAGAAGTCGGACTGCTTTGCTGTGTCTGCCTGCGCGCTTCCCGGGGAGCGCTGCTCGCAAGTAGGCCTCTGGAATTGTGTCTCTGGAAGAAAAAATATCACAGTGATGGCACCCGCTATCTCAAAGGGGAGATGGACGATGAACATGTATCTCCAGCCTAAATTCTCTGTAATCGGCCCGCTGACGATGGAAACGACGGCCGACATGCAGGTAAGGGAAAGGGCCAAAAGACCAGCGCGGCTGCCTCGCTCATGTACAAAGTACCTATCGTCATTAGTAAATACTCCTCGAAAGTTGGGCTGAGATGCAGATTCTCAGACTCACAGATCACCTAAAAGGCCAAGTGAAAGACTCTCAAAAGCCACTATACCAAGCCCTTGGACCAGACGTCCTGCGAGGAGGACATTGTAACTATTCCCACTGCCAATGTAGATTACCGTCCCAATAATCGCCATTATCGCCGCAAACACGAACTGCGGACGCTTACCGTATTTTCTTGCTAGTGCTGATACTATAGGTCTGTACGCGCTCGTAGTCAGTGGGCGACTTACAAAGTCGGGAACTTCCACTATCGAAACAGGACGAACTCACCCTAAAGCAGCAACCAACACGAGTTGGTAACCGGAAAGTAAGGTAATTGCCATTGTTGGCCGCCCAAAATAAACAGATAGAACCTGAAGCGATGCTGCCAGTAGCGGGGGAGGAACGGCTCCCATTATTATGGTGTTCGTAAAGACGACAGCAAAGACCAGATTTCTCCTCCAAAGGGACCAATTCTGCGTTTTTAGACGACTTGTTAGCATGGATTCCAACTTACCAGCCTGACTGTACCAACCAGCGGGTCATTTGGGTTGTCTGTGGGTTGTGGGACGAGGATGACATGAGCGTCCTGAGAGGGAATCAGTCTTATGGTTACGTTGCCAGCATTACTGGCCGGGGCACCAAAAATTAACCTTGCTGGTGCCGTGTCGCACGTTGCATGTATCAGCAGCATTGCTTCCTTGGTCTACGAGAGTGACCGTTCCAGGAACATGTTCACAATCGTCATCGAGGATCCCCAGCGGCATAGTGATTCAGAACGTATCTCGTATCTCGTAACTAGGCCTGACGGCGGCAGGGCTTGCTGAGTCTAATCAGCTGCTGCTGATTATAAGAAATTTGAAGAACAAAAGATAACGGAAGGCTCAGAAGACTATCAGGCGAAATTTAAAGGATCTTGTTGCACTGTATTTAAACTATCTAACAAAGTTTGCGACCACTCAACTCTGTTATGTAGTGTTAACGCTGGTAAGGAATGAAAGTCGATAAGGTGACCCGCTAATTCCCGGGCTCTATAGCATTTTCCAAATAAGAACAGTTCCGTCTAGAACCAGAAAGGGGCGTTCGGGGAAGAGGCGGCATCCCAGGCGTAAATGTCTCGTAGGTCTAGGAATCACAAGCAGACGTCGGGGAACGAACCCACGTTCTCCGCGTGGCAAATGCCGGACCGGGGAACGGTAGGGTGTCCCGGAAGCGCAACTTACTTCACCCGCGGCGGGTCTTTCAGCACGGGCGGAATACTTTGTCCTACCCGGTGGCGCTCAACAACACGCGTCCTCTTTGCGGGGGAATGACCGCTCGAAAGAAGGAAATATATAAACTTATCGTTGGATTTTTTGTACGATAATTCGCCTTGCTTTCATGTCCACGGTAATTGACAGACAATAGACTCACAATGCACCTAGGCGACTTCGAGAAGGGGCTCGAAACCTCCAAGGAGGTCAACGTCACGAACCATCTTGAAGCTGAGGTCTACAACTGCGTCGTTCGCGGACAGGTGCCGAAGGGGCTGGATGGCACCTTTTACAGATACCTGCCGGACTTTCCATGGTCACGGATCGACCATGATGACGTCTTCATCAACGGCAACGGTTGCATTGACGCTGTACGTTTCCAGAATGGCCATGTTGATTTCAAGCAACGCTATGTGCGGATGGCGAAGTTCGTTATCGAAAGAGCAGCGCGTCAGGCGGTGCTTGGCAAGTATGGAAACCGGTACATGGAGGACCCTCGTGTAAAGCACATGATTCATTCCACCGCCCACAGCAACATTGTCTACTATCAAAATCAGCTACTGGCTACGAAAATGGACTCTCTGCCATATGTTGTCGATCCAGACACCATGGAGACAAAAGGTTGGTATATTTTCGAGGACAGTCTTACTCCCGAAAGAGGATACAAAAGAAAGACTGACTCAACTTGGCAGGTGTCTATGACTACAACGGCCAATACAAGGCACCCACTCACACGGCACGCCCGAAGATTGACCCGCGTAACGGTGAGTTGATCACCATGGGCTATGAGACTAAAGGTGATTCCAGCCCCGACATTGCCTACTACTTGTTCGACCGGAACGCCAAGAAGCTTGAGGAATGTTGGGTGAAGGGTCCCTATGCCAGCATGATCCTTGATGTGGCGGCAACGGATAAGTGGATCGTGTTCGTTCTCAATCCGCTGGCCGCAGTGCCCGTCGAGATGATGCACACCGTCCATCATCACTTTGCTTGTGACCCGCAGAAGCCGGCGGTCTTTGGGGTATTGCCGCGTCGCGGCCCCAAGCCAGAGGATGTCAAGTGGTTCCATTTTGAAAACACCTTTATCGGCCATACGGGCAACGCTTTCGACGGCGAAGAAGGTTGCATATACATGGATACCTCAGTCAAATATGAAAAACTAGTACGTTCCGACTGCTGCGGTGTGACACAAGCAGCTGTGTTCCAACCCTAGTCACAACTTCTCTGCCAGTGGATCATTCCAACTAAACTTTCTCTTTATCCTATCTAGTTCTGGTCCTCTTCCCCCGAACAAAGGAGCAACCTACCGCTGATGCCACCAGATCCGAGCAAGCACAAGAAGGGCTCTTACGTGCGTTGGCGGCTCGATCCGAATGCGAACGATTTATTTGTCAAGCCCATCGAGCTGATAGACCTTGAGGGTGATACGCCTAAGATCGACGAGCGCTTCCAAATGCAACCGTATAAGTCCCTCTTCTTTAACACGCATGTCGGCGCGCATAAGGAAGGCCCAAAGGGTGCTTCATGGAATGCCATTGCGCGGTGCGACGTGGAGACGGGCAAGTACGATATATGGAATGCGGGGCCGGATACAGCCCTGCACGGAGTGGCCTTTTCACCTCGTGGTTCCGATGGTGAGCCCCACGTTTACTCCTCAATCCACGAATCTCCGCTAACTCTCTACTCTACGCGGAGTCCCTGAAGGTGATGGTTACCTTATCTCTATCGCTAACCGTTGCGACACCCAGCTAACCAGCATTGTAATACTGGACTCAGCACGCGTCAGTGCGGGGCCTATTGCAGTCATTCAGCTGCCCTTCAGCCTGGATCTTGGCATCTGCGGCAGCTGGGTGTCCGCTGCGGACTTCGCTGAGCGCAAAGTCTTGAGTGACGTGCATCGTGTTAATGAAATCCACAGTGAGTTTGAGAATAAGCCCGTCATGCTGCAGGAGGGGATTGGGGCTGTGCAGATGGAGCCCCCAGCGATGTCGGCCGCAACTACGCCCAGCGTTGGAGTCATTGAATCGGGCACCACCGATTTCGAAACTTGGCCTTCGACATCGGTGGGATCCTCCGACTATCCCGCCATCAGCGACCGAGGTCCTAGCATCATCAGGACGGGAAGGACTGATCAAACCGCAATCGACCGAAACAAGCAACTGGTGAGAAATTTTTACCGGCGGGTCTTCGACGGACAGAATGCTGGTGCAGTCAAGGACTTCGTAACGGAGGACTACATCCAGCACGGCGCCCACGTACGGCCAGGTCGCGCTGGGCTGGAAGACTTCGTGCGCACGACCTGTCCTGGTGGCCCCGTGCTGGAGCCTGCGGAGATGCGTAACCCTCCCACCTTCATGGTCGCGGAAGGTGATATGGTGGTAGTGTCGGCTAACTTTCCGCAACCCGACCCCGAGCGCCCGGGCGAGACCTACGACTACTACGTCTTCGACTCCTTCCGCATCGAGCGTGGAAAGCTTGCGGAACACTGGAGCAGCATCAACAAGATCGCTCCCCCGATCGCTCCTGATTTCGTGCCGGTAAGCATAAGGAAGAGGAATACCATATCCGAATGCAAGAATATCGCGATTGTCGGTGCCGGGATCGGGGGGCTCGCTGTAGCCGTACGGCTACAGCGAGAAGGATTCGACGTGGATGTGTATGAACAGGCGTCGGAGCTACGCGAAGTCGGTGCCGCCATTGGCCTGCGTCCGCGAACCGCGAAGATCCTCGCAAGCTGGGGCCTGAAGGATCGCTATACCCCTTTAACCAGCCGGGTCGGCAACATCCTCTCACTCGACGGTAGCACTGGCACGCCGATCGGTGAAATTGTCATCCCGAGCGAGACCGACGATCCGGATGAGAACTGGTCCGACATTATCCACCGCGGCGAGCTGCACAGCCTTCTGAGCTCTGAAATCCCGCGCGAGAGCATCCACCTGTCGCACAAGTGCATCCGCGTCACTGATCTGGGCAATCATGTGGAACTCACTTTCTCTGACGGGAGAACCGCGACCGCTGCGGCGGTTGTCGGCGCTGACGGTATCCACTCGCGGATCCGCCCACTCATCATGCAGACGGATGCAGTGTTTTCCGGATTGCAGGGCCATCGCGGCATCCTTCCCTTCGAGAAGGTCAAGGATCTACTGCCAGAGAAGCTGCCGTGCAACTGGCTGCTGATGAACCAGGACGGTGTCCTGTCGCTGTTTGTCGTTCTTCCCTATGGCGGTGGCCAGTACGTTGCGTTTGACGCCGTCCTTCCCGCCAATGAGGAGGTCGCCGAATCGTGGCGCAACACGACCACCCGCGATGAACTCATCGAGCGGCTCTCCGGATTTGAGCCACGCGTGCAGGAGATCGTGCGCCGCTTCGATCAAGATGAGGTTCTCGCCCTCGGCATGTACGACCGTGATCCGATCTCGCAGTGGACGAAGAATCGCATCACGCTTCTGGGCGATGCCGCACATCCGATGCTGCCCACCGAGGGGCAGGGTGCAAACATGGCGATCCAGGACGCGCAGACCCTCGGTGACTGCTTGAGCGGCGCCACACACGATCAGTTCCCAGCTGCGCTACAGGACTATGCCGAGTTACGCATCCCGATCACCCGCGAGATCCAGCGGAAGTCGCGCGACAGACGTCCCTTCGACTTCGAGATACCGCCCCACCTGACGATGTGACCGGCGCGATATGCCTGATCTGAGTGGATAAACGACAGCAATTTGGAACCCTCGCTTACGCCGGCCCGGGAACTGCCATGCTTAGGTAGGTGCCTGCATGGATCTACCACGGAGGGGGTTGCCATAGAACGCACTGTGCAGCTCGCTTCCTCTTTCGATGTGGAGCGGACCCCAAATCATAAACCCGTTCCTCACTCACTACGGCAAAGGTCCAATCCTGTATATGACGTATTTCACAGCTGAGTCGGCCCACACATAGAGTCGGTCACCGCCAGCCTTTCCTGCCCATGGCCTAAATAATAGAACCTTTATGAATCAAGCAATTGCGTTTTTTACGAAAATCAATGCCTAAGTGGTTTATGGATCTAACTCTAGTATGTTGAAGAGACAACACATGGCCTTTAATGATCTTGTGTAATCGCGTTGTTAGTAAAGGAATAGGTCTGAGCGTGTTCTCTAAGCAGTTTTCTTGCTGCGGGTGCTTACTTCCTGAATAGGTTCTGCTGTAAAAGCGCTTTTGCCAGCCTCCGAAATGATCTCTAGTAAATTAAGCTCGTCGATATGGCTGACTCCTAAGCGCATTCTTTCCTGCACTAAATCGCCGTACGCGCTTTTTAGAGCCCAAAAACAGCCTATACCTAAAAGTTGGAGATTGCGGGGAAAATGTGCAGGCATGCAGATAGGAATGATATTATTCTCACTGCATATTTGATTGAATTGAGTCGAAGGGTGGCTGCCATGACCATGGCCGTCTTTGACTAGAAGTCGATATATCCCAGTCGTACGGCGAGTAGTGAAAGAAATAATGAGATATTTGAGCCAGCGAAGGCTATCTCATTAGTAGTCCATCCATTAGGACTAACTCCAAGCCTGGTATCCAGTGGGAGCTTTGGTTTCTCATACCAACCCTCTATATGGACCTTCTCTTTGAAAATGTTGCATGGAGGAAGCACAAAACCAGTAGAGTTGATAAATTCATCGGAGTGACACTTTTCCCTATTTGAGTAGTCATCTCTAGTAATCATCTCTCGAGCATTACATACTATGCCCATAGCGAAGCCGACCTCGTCAAAGTTGTAGATGTTCTCCTGTGCGATCCCATATTGCATTTTAGTGATTTGTACGCGGTCAAACCATTTTTTTAATCAATTTAGGGTCTTCGCATTTAGCACGCTGGTAATCATATCGTCGAGGAAAGCAGGAAATCACTTCAGGACGGCGTTTGTTAAGCTGGTAAACCAGTTCACTCCAACTGATTGAGTAGGTGGAATAATATTAGTGATTCCTCGTGCACGTGATGGCTTGGGAGGCGCTCCACGTCGATCTATCGATAGAACCCATTGTACAAACGATTCCACTTCATGTGAGTTATCTTACTATTATTGGCGCGTCTTCCTGAGCGCAAAGTTCTTCCACTAAGTCGACGCCGTAGAGTTTCATGGCGACATCAAAAAAGTACGCAACTTCACGAATACTGCACATTTCTTATTATTCAAAGCGGAATAGCAAGTAGGATTCTCACTTCCTTCTCAAATGGATTCCTTGATTTTTGACACCCTTTGGAGGCATGGTTGGTGGTTGAATTAGGTGAGGCTTTTTGACGCGTCCAAGTTACGAACAGTGTCACGCTCGCTAGTGAAATACGTTACCTGGAAGTGCAAGGATTAATAATCTCCTGCTCCTTGGGGACACGAGAGGCGCCCGCTCTACGCGTGACAAATGCCACAGGAACCTCCGTCGCCCCGGAGCGACTGTTTACCGCGACTACAGCGGCGTCCGCTACCCCCGGGTGGCCAAGCATGAGACGACCTTCAAGCTCCGCAAGGGCGACCTGTAACCTTTGCACCTTGATCGATTCCCGCGAGTTTGTGGTCTTAGAGAAATTCGAGTTGCAGAAATCTCGACTTTCAGCGCTTCTCAGCTTTTCCCGATCAACAATATACCACCCGTTGGCTTTTGCGTCGAACAACAGATATCTCACGTCCGAAGCCAGCCGTCTCGGTCAATGGTCGCCTCGGTGGCATCGGGATTGTTTAAGTATCCAACCATGAGAGTAGGACTTCGAACGCAGAGCTTGCGTTGTGTATTAGGCTGCGCAACCTCCTTGCCTCCTTCGTCAGTCAGCTTTGCTTCCACATTCGGAACTGTTGTAATTCAGAAGAATATTGATTATTCTATTCACATCAGGAAACTCGAGGATTTATATACAAGACGAATATCAGATTGATTGGAAATCAATCTGGTTGTATCCGGAATAAATTCCGTGTACAAGCTCTGTTGTTTACTTGGTCGAGCCTCGATTCACAACATTGCCCCTCAGGATCACCGTGCTTGCACGCTGATACTGCACTGGCGAGAATCAACTAGGCCTCGGTAAAACCACTAAAACCCTGCTCGGGAGAAAAAGTAGAAAGAGCGCCCCTGTACGATTACGCCTTCTATTTTGGGTCTTCAACAATACTTATCAGACCGATTAACTGACAGAAATTTGCGAATTCCTTCGGCGCCAAAGATTTGGTAAGTCCGTCTGCAGCCTGCTGCTTGGTCGGAACATAGTGGATATTGATCTCTCCAGCATCCAATACGAATCGCTGATAGTGAAACTTGACATCGAAATATTGATTCATTTATAGAACTCCGGATTCCTGGATAAGGCTATAGCAGATCAATTGTATGTTATAATGTCTGTGGAGAATGACCGATAAAATTTGGTTTTATCCAGGAAGATGCGCAGCCACTGCAGATTTAAAATAGCATTATACTGGCCGGTATTCTCTGCATGAGTAGTGGACGTGGCGACTTCTCCCTGTTTCTTGGATGACCAGGAGATGGGGCCTCCCGCAAGCTTAAAGACATATCCGGAGGTGGAGTATGCCCGGTCAGTCATAACCAATCCACCGAAATCGGCATCCGTATAGCTGATCAGATTTCCCTTTCAACATAAGATGCAAGCATCCTGCGATACCTTCAGGTAGCGGAGCAGCCGCTGCAGCACATCTTGGTGATATAATTGCGGTCGAGACACAAATCAACTAAGTGTCGCTACCATAAACGCGATATCTAGTCAGGTTCCGATCATCAGATACATCGATGCACCGATAGCCGAGCTATAGCGGGCTCTAGAGGAGTTGTCAAGTCTGCGCTCATCTAGACTTGGGTCCAGAGAGCTTTGGGGAATCATTGGTGTACCCTTAAGCTGGCAAGTCTCCATGCAGAAATCAGATAAGATCTTTTAGATATACTGTCACTGATACAGAGAAACAGATCTATCATCATGAATATCGAATTGGATTCCAAAAGAAGATCGTGGAGTTCCTAGATTGTTCAGTTTGAACTCCGATTCAAGAGCGCTTCTAGCAAGGTAGATTTCTCGGTCATTGACTCCGGCCAGCAGGAAATCATCAACATAGACACAGACCACACAGTTCTCCTTGTAGAAGACGCAGTTGTCGGATTATGCCATGAGGAAACCATGCGCCTTTAGGACTCGCCGTAGACAGCGATACCAGATCCGGGGAGCTTGTTTTAAGCCATAGAGAGATCATCGCAGACGGCAGACGTACCCTTCTTCCTGGAAGCCTTCTGGGAGCTCTATATAGATATCTGTATCGATGTCTCCGTGAAGAAATGCTGTCACCGCGTCGAACTGGTAAAATTTTCAGCTTTTTAGGACAACACTGGCTACGATACAGCGGACGGAGTCCATTCAAGAGACCGCCCCGAACGTCTCATGATAGTCGACTCCAGTCCTCTGGCAAAAGCCCTTGATGACCAGGCAGGATTTTCATACTCCATTCGCTTTGGTCTTGAACACCCATTTACTCTCGATAGCCCGATGTCCAGGTGGAACATCTTTTCGCAGGATTTTTTCCCATGTACCATCAAAATGTGAGCTGTATTCCCCCTGGATGGACGCACACCATTCTACATGATATAGACCAGATACAGCCTCTTGGAAAGTCTGTGGGTCACGGTCTGAGGACGACAACAATAATATAAAGTAGACCTTGCCCATCACTTCGAGGAGTCACCGAGACGGCTGCCGCCGTCGCCTAAAGAACAAGTATCCTAGGTCCGGTATATCTTACACTTCAGACACTATGGGATTGGTCGTTCCAGAAGAAACGGTGTCGTGTATAGTACCGCCCACTTCTGGCTCGTCTACTTCTGGTAGAGGTTGAGAAGGCAGCACGATTGACAGTATTACTATCGATATCAGTTTCGGTGGACTGAGGTCCACAGCAGCGGCCGGAATGTTCGGAAGGTCTAACGACGGAGGGTCATTGCTTGGGAGGTCTTTGCCGGCTTCGCCCTTGATGTGTGGCGCCACGGGGGTCCTCTCATTGGACTCAACATCACGGGAAAAGACGATCCGTCCGGAATGGACCTCGTATAGTTTATATTAATTCGGTTCGCCGTACCCGAGCAGCCGGCACTCGAGGATACAGGACCCTAATTTGGGCCTCTGTTCTTTGGAAATCAGGACCCAAGCTTACGAGCCGATTCAGCGGAGATGGGACAAGCTTGGTGGCTTTCCGTATCGAACCTCATAGGAGGTCTTCTTTTGCAGGAACAATACCGGCACTCGTAATTTCAGGTAGACGACCGTGTCAAGGATCTCGGTTCAAAAGACTAGAGGAAGTTTCGCATTATACATGAGCGTGTTGATCCGTTCCCGGATTGTGTGGTTCGTACGCTCCGCCAGGCCAATCTGGCCCTTGCAGTACGGAGCAGATGTGTCAAACTCTATGCCCTGGGACTCGAGATAAGTGCTGATGGCCAGATATTCTCTTCCGTTGTCGCACAGAAACCGCTTGGTGCGGGTCCCGAATTGTCGGCGTATCCATGCTTCAAAGACCTGGAATCTCTGTAGCGCTTCGGACTTCCATTTCATCGCATAGCTCCGAGCCGCGGGAATAATCATCAGTAAAGGTGACACCGTACCTGGAGCTTTCTTGCCAACAGGCATTTCCATTAGATTAGAATGCACCAACACAGAAATCCTGGAGGATCGAAGTTTATGTGAGTTGGCTCTAGTATCCATGCAAAATTTAAGTCTATTTAAACGATCTTGAAATATTAATCAAGGAACTTAATAAACACGTGCAGCTTCACAAACAAACTTTATATATCTTTCTGAATAGCTTCAACCACTAAGCAGAGTGTCTGCCCTCTTGTTCCACTAAGACTTTTGATAATTTAGACATTTTTGGTGGTGTAATGGCTGTTTAGATAACATCACTTTCAGAGGTGCGGACGAGTTTCGATGGGGTGGCCGACTCGCTTACGTGGCCGACTCGCTTGCCGATTAACGTAATCGGACAACGAACCGCCGGGACAACGAGCCGCCGGCGGTTGGCCGCCCCGCCCACCAAGATGCAATGATCGATTCAACATGAAGCAATTCAACACTATACAGATAATATATACAGAATTAAACTACGTGTTGACTTTATCTGGACATTTGAGGCGATTATGGCCTTCTCTATTGCAATTACTGCAGCGGGGTGGCCGGCGTTGAGTGCTTTGAGTAGCCTGCTTCTGTATAGCTTCAGCATTCTTTTCTTGAGTAATTTGATGTGCAGTATGGCCATCTCAAGTGCATCTTTCTTGTAAAAAGCGTTTTGAAGCCATTCTCTTGTTCATTTTATATTGGTTCACTTCACGGAGTTAATTCAACTCCTGCTGAAGCAGTACAGCATTCTGCATTGCCATTTCTGCACCTTTATACACCTTTTCAAGTGCTTGATCAGCAATAAGTGATGATGATCCTGTTTCTGCAGTGCTTCAATCTCTGCTTTTTGATGATTCATTTGATAAAGAATTAAAGGCGTTTTCCCGAGATACATAGATTGATTAGATGATGACGTTGAAGGTGGAGGAGGTGTTTGATTTGATATCTTAAGATTTTGAAGCACTCTTTCCGGGTTGTACGGCGAAAGACCTGTTGCAGCGAAGCCTTGCTTTATATTTGCTGTACTGAAGGCTTTGAGATAGACCTTTTTATAATAATATAAAAACTCTTCTTTCTGTATATGGTGGATGCCTTTATCAGCTGCATCTTTGATTCGACGGCCGTACAGGATCTTTAGCGGTGCAAAGCAAGTGACATCAAGCGGTTGAAGCTTGTGAGATGAATGAGGCGGCATGTATAAAGGAATAATCAATCTTTCTTTGCAAAATTGATCAAATTCGACAGTTGAATGACTTCCGTGGCCATCAAGAATAAGAAGACGATACTGGCCCACTGTTTTTGATGCTGTATATGCATCAAAGTATTGAAGCCAGTCATAAGCAAGATTATTATTCGTCCATCCGTTGTCACTAATACTGATCCGCCAGTCATCGGGAATAGCTTCAAACCACTTCTCCTGCTGCATCTTGCCTGCAAAGATAATATGCGGAGGTAGTACGACCCCTGCTGCACTGATTGTAACGATCGAAGTAACCCATTCACGATTCCCGGGTTGTATAGATCTTGCGTTGGTTCCGCGAGATTCAGCACCACAGACAACCTTTGCAGTTGAAGCTATTCCCATTTGAAATCCCGTTTCATCCATGTTATAAGTATCGTATTCAAGAATCCCATATATTTGTATAGTATTCTTAACTAATTCGAACCACCGACATATGATACTGGGATCCTCGCATTTTGCACGTTGATAATCAAACCGTTGAGTGTATCTCGACTTCAATTCAGTCTGATGACGTTGGATGAATCGATTGACCCAGCGATCACTGATATAAGCGTTGTTTTTGGTGTTTTCTGACTTCAATTTTGACGATAGAAGGATCTCTGCAAGATGTCGTGCTTTTGCGATGGTAAGCGGATAGCCTCGTGAGTCTAATTCAAGGACCCTGCGCTTCAACACCAACTCATCATTATTAGATAACTTTCGCAGATTCGCCTCTATTTGAGTACGGGGTTTGACTCCTTTCAACCGTCCCTTCAGAGTGCTTATCTTGACATCAAATGCTGCAGCACACGCTTGCTTAGAGGAAAATTGACCTCAAGGCCTCGCAGCAAGCTCTAGCCTTTTATCTCTAGAAAGACCCTCCATACGTCTGAATAGCTTCAAATTTGAATGAATTAAGCAAGGTTGGATATTGCGTGTTGTAGAGGTTTGAAGCGGTGAGGATCACCGGCGGT